CGGTCCCTGGCCCTGCACAGGGTTGCCGGAGCGGGCTGCAGGAGGAGGAGCTGCCGGCCGGCTCAGAATGCAGGGAGGGGGGGTGGGAGGAGGAAGCTGCTCCGGAGTCCAGCCCGGGACTTTCCTGCAGCCCTCCCAGCCGGGGGAGGGGGAAATCCCGGACATTGTGAGTGCTTCACAAATTCCCCCCGGACGCTATTTTTAGCACACAAAAGGAGGACATGTCCGGGTAAATCCGGACGAATGGTAACCCTAATGTGGTCACCCTACCACCAGACTCCTTGTTGGTTTTTTTGTATTACATTGTTATTAAAATCTTCATGGCTGGGTATTACCCTGAACAGCCACTAGATGTCGCTGCCCCATGCACAGTCCCAGTTGAAGCAGGTACATTCATGGCCTGGCACCGAGCGGGGCTGGTGGCTAGATCGGTGCAGCCAGCAGGGGGCGGCGTGTCCCTGCCCTGCAGGATCCCCAGGGGGTGGGACGGCAGCTGGGTTCCCACTGGCCGTGCCCGGGGAGGAGGGCGGCTCAGAGACACACGAGCTGGGCTTACCTGCTGGGCCGGGCGGGGCCGGGGGGCACAGCTGGGATCGGACACGCTCCAGGCGGGCGCTGCATTCTACTGTGCTGGGGTCTCTGCTCCCAGCTCCGTCGCTCCCAGGGGGTGTCGCTGTATCTCTGCTCCCGGCTCCTTCGCAATCAGGGGCTGCCGGGGTCGGTCCCTTCTTTGATGCCAAGTGGGAAACTGCAAAGCATTGTCGGTGGGAGGTCAATGTGATGGGGGGTTGCTGGGTAAAAGCACTGGCACAGAGCCCCACGGAGACACAGGGCATGCCCCAAAGCCCGTTTAGCTCCATCTCCTCTGACTCCCATGGGCTTCAGAGCAACCCCAAAGGGACATGGTCTAAAAATGTGGCTGGGATTGAAAATGGGGGGTGCCTAAATCCTTTGGGCCTTTTACAAACCCAGCCAGTGTTTGTATCTAAGTTATCCAGCCCCCATCAAAGCAGTATCAGAACCTCAGAGTCTTTCCTAGATTTTGCCTCCCAACCGCACTCTGTGAGGCAGGCCACAGGGCTGTTATCCCCATTGTACAATTGGGGAAACTGAGGCACAGAGCTCCTCACAGTGGCGAGGACCAGCCTCGGTTCCGGGCTAGGCACAGGCCACCTGACCCGCTCCTCTGGGACTGCAGGTTCAATACAGTGTAGCCCTCCTCACTGTGTGTCCTGCCCTGGTGAGCGAAGGTGCCGGGACCAACATGGGCGGAGGTGTGAGATCACACAGGAAGCCAAGACGCTGGGCTGCAGCCACGTGGGCATCAGGGCGGTGGTCACAGCGTCCGGCCTCAGGGGCTCTCTGCTGCTACGGAAGTTGATTCAGTCAAAACCGGGCTCCCAGACACCTCCCCCTCCGATGCAGCCACCCTGATCCCAAGGTGAGGGGCACAGCCTGTCTGTTGTGGTGTTTATCTGGCCCCTGTCACTTGCTGTCTCTGTCCCTCACCCACATTCCCTGTGATGCAGGGGAGGCTCATGGGGACAGATTATTCAAGAGGTTTAGGCAGTTAAAGCTGAAGAGAGGCCCCGAGTGGGGTTTTCAGAAGCACCAAGGCCCAGATCCTCAACAGGATTTAGGTGCCTAACTCCCTTGGGTGTTGGGCACCTAAATACATTTGAGAACCTGGGCCCTAGGAGCCCAATTCCCATTGACTTCAATAGGCGTTAGGTACCTAGTGGGTTGGTTTTAGGTGCCTAGATGCATTGTTAGATACCTAAACCCCTGTGGAATTCCAGCCTTAAGGGACCAGCCCAGGGTCACACGGGGAATCAGTGGTAGAACCAGCTGGCTCATGGTGAAGGGGTGGAAAGGCTGGGTGGGTCCACAGGGCAGGGGCCTGATGAAAAGCTCCAGAGGGCCTGGGGTGCAGGGTGGGCGGGGAGCGCCCTCCCACAGGACCCATTCGAGGTAAGCCCAAGAAGCAGAGGATAAGGCTGCCCTCACCTCCTGAAGCACATGCCGGGGAGTACAAAGGCTGGAGAGCCCCATGCTCTGAGCGAGCGTCGGGGGATCCGCCCAGTCTCCTCTGTCGTAGTCCAGGAGGTCTCCGAGTCTGGTGACTTCTGCCAGGACCAACCTCTGTTGCACAAGTTACAGGAGGTTGCTGGGTAAAATCACCAGCAGAGACACAGGGCCTGACCCAAAGCCTGTTCAGCCGCTGATTCCAATGGGATTTGGAGCAGCCCCAAAGGGCCAGGGTCTAAAAATGTGCTGCAATTGAAAGTCTGTGGGAGTTTGGTGCCTAAATCCCTTGGGCCTGTTTGCAAACCCAGCCAGTGTTTACATCTATTTAAGTTACCCAGCCCCCATCATGGCAGTATCACAGTACCTCACAGTCTGTACTGGATTCAGCCTCCCAACACCATGAGGCAGGGCACAGGGCTGTTATCCCCATTGTGCAGGTGGGGAAACTGAGGCACAGAGCACCTTGAACTGGAGAGGACCAACCTGGGTTCCAGGCTGGGGACAGGCCACCTGAGCTGCCCCTCTGGGGCTGCATGTTCAGTACCGTGTACCCCTCCTCGCCTTGCATCCTGCCATAGAGATTGGAGGCTCGGGCTGGGATATGAGAACGCACAGGAAGCTGAGAGGCTGGGCTGCAGCCCTGTGGGTGTCAGGAGGGGGTCAGAGCGTCCGGCCTCAGGGGCTCTCTGCTGCTACAGAGGTTGGCGCAGTCAGGAAAGGGCTCCCAGCCAGCCATGGGCGCCCTTCCCCCTCCACTGCAGCCTGCAGCTGCCCTGAGACCAGGGGGAGGAGCACAGCCTGTCTGTCGAGGGGACTGTCCAGCCAACTTGTGATCTGTGTCCCTCACCCACAGTCCCTGTGAGGCAGGGAAGGAAGACAGGGCAGGTTAGTCAAGGTGTTTAGGCTGCACCTAAAGCAAGAGTGACCGGCCGCCCTGAATGGGGCTGGACACTCCCGAAATGCAAGTTCAAGTCCCGGGCCTGGATTCCCTGCAGTGTCACTTGAGGCTCAGGGGCAGCACCAGCCTCTTTGGGGGGAGGGGGGCCTTAGCCCCACCCCATGGCCATGAGGCCCCACCCTCTGCCCCGCCTCATCCCGCACGAGGCCCCGTCCCTCCACCTGCCCCGGGCAATGTACCCCAGGGTAGGGACACGGGCTGGGGGCTGCTCTTGGGTGGATCCCTGCAGCAGCCTGTGCTCCCTGGATGGCTCTTATGCAGTCTGCCCGGGGGACGGGGCCATGGAGGGGGAGGGGATCCTGCATGTGTCCTGCTTTTCCCTTCTGCAAAGGTGCTCACCCTACCAAAAGCTGCAGAGACGCACGTATGCCCAGCTCCTCAAAGCTATTGAGGGTGTCTCACTCCCTGGGCCCTAGGTGCCTAATTCCCATTGGCCTCAAGGGCCTTAGGCACCTGGGCGCTTTAAGAAAAAACCCACCTGACCCCTCTCTGCACCGTAACCCCTGTGGCAATCGAGTTCTAAGGGACCACGCAGAGAATCTATAGTCGAACCAGGAACTGGGCCCAGGGCTCCTGCATCCCAGACTAGCACAGGCGGGAAATGGTTCGTTTTTCCTTTTCCTTTTAGAGCCTTTAGGGGGAGATTGCGGCGGGGACGGGGGTCATGGGACTGAGCTGTTCGTGGGTTTTTACATTTTTTAAATTTTTTTATCATTTTTTGTAAATTGTTCATTGTTTTTCTTTAACGGTGGGGTTTCTCCTCCATGGTTTGGATTTCTTTATTTATTGGGGGTTTTGTTTGTGTTTTTCCCCCTCTTTGATTTTTCCTTTGGGGCGGGAGTGGGGGGGGGCGCACCAGACGCTCAGAACCAGGAGCCTGGGGTTGCTATTGAACTATTTGCTCAGTCCCTGCCTGAGGGCCTGAGCCTCTGACTATCTGTTTGCTGCCCCGCCCTAACCCAGGGCCGGGGCGTATACGGTACTCCTTGTGCGGCCCTGCCTGGAGGTCTGGGCCACAGGCTGGGTGTTCCCCAACCCAGCCGAAACGGCGTAGCGAGGCGGTGTGGTGCCCCACAGAGGGATGAGCCCCGAGTGGGTTCTTGTACGGGGGGGGCAGGTTTTTCATTTATTTATTGTTTTATGTGGGGGGGAGACATTCAAGTAGGGGGCAGGGGAATACATTTCGCCCCCCACTGGATTTTTAAAATGTTTTAACGTGACTTTTGGTTTTCATTTTTGTCTTCTCTCCCCAACCCACCCCACTTTTTTTCTTCCCCATCTTTCCTCTCTTGCAAATCATTTTCAGAAAGAAAAAGGTTGTTGGTTTTTTTTTTTTTTAAAGGTTTCAGAGTAGCAGCCGTGTTAGTCTGTATCCGCAAAAAGAAGAACAGGAGTACTTGTGGCACCTTAGAGACTAACAAATTTATTAGAGCATAAGCTTTCGTGGACTACAGCCCACTTCTTCGGTTGCATATAGAAGAAGTGGGATGTAGTCCACGAAAGCTTATGCTCTAATAAATTTGTTAGTCTCTAAGGTGCCACAAGTACTCCTGTTCTTCTTTTTTTTTAAAGGAGGACTGGGGAAAGAATTGTGATCAAAAAGAAAGCAAGGGGGTGTGTGGAATTGATAAAGAAGAAAAGAAACATTTCCAAAATGATTTTGATAAACAGTTTTGTGTCAAATTTCAAGGTAGAAAAAAGGCCACTTTTCTACTACACGACGTTTTGTTTGGAAAAATATTTCACCCAGCTGGAGAGACAGACAGGACTGTCCAGTGCTACATTAACCGACTGAGAAGTGAAGTGTGTGGAACTTGGCCCTAGCAGAGTGAAAGATCTCACACCTGCATGCTCGGAGTCTATCACCGGAGCTGATGGCTGGATCCGGTGTATGGGACACTTCCCCGGGCCGTGAAAGGGGGTGTGGGACCAGTGAGTACAGGGGACACTGGGGGAGTACAGAACACACAGGGCCCGATCCTGCGTTCCGCAGGCAGAACTCAAGGCAGGGGGCGTGGGGCACACCTGATCTGGGGTAATCTCTAGTCCCAGAGACCGGGACGCAGGGAGTCTGTTCCCAGGCACTTACCCACACGGCTCAGCACGATCACAGCCAAGGTCAGAGAGATGCACCCGGCGCCCAGAGCCACTAAGCAGTGTCTGTGCCTGCAGGGAGCTGGAACAGGGAGAGTTGGGGGCTCAGGGTCAGCAGCTGCAGGGGAAGGATCAGGAGTTATTTCACTCATAGTATTGGAGGCAGATCCTCAGCTGGTGTCACCCGACCCTGCTCCACGGAGCTCAAATCAGGCAGATCAATTGTCACAGACACACATTTTCTATCCTTAAATGCTCCTGGCCAGATCTCCGCCGCTCTCAATCGGCCGTAGCCCCACTGCAGTCCCTGGGGCCAGATCCCAGCTGGTGAGAATTACTCCAAGTGCATCGATTTCAGCAGAATTTATCCTGATTTACCCCAGTTGCAGATCTGTCCCTTTGACATTGCAGGGAAAAACAAACTCCATTATTGCGACAGGAGTAGCAAGAGACCCCAGCTGAGATCCTGGCCCCGTCGTGCCGGGCGCTGCACAGACACACAGCGAGAGACAGTCCCTGCCCCAGCTGAGATCAGGGCCCCGTTGTGCCGGGCGCTGCACAGACACACAGGGAGAGACAGTCCCTGCCCCAGCTGAGATCAGGGCCCCGTTGTGCCGGGCGCTGCACAGACGCACAGCGAGAGACAGTCCCTGCCCCAGCTGAGATCAGGGCCCCGTTGTGCCGGGCGCTGCACAGACACTCAGCGAGAGACAGGCGCTGCCCCAGTTAGGACACAGATCCGATCCCATGGCGGGGAGGGTAGAGGAGGGGAGGGGGTTATAGTCACTACCTTGGTTCCCAGCTGCGGACAGGCTGCCCCTCTGGGGCCACGGGTCCAGCCCCGTGTCGCCCTCCTTGTCTTGCATCGTCCCCAGGCAGAGCAGCAGTCGAGCTCCCCAGGGCAGCGGGGGTGGGGCAGGGCTGCCCTCCTGCTGCAGCGGAAGCCTCCACACCTCTGAGAGAGGGGCCCAGGCGTGAGACCTCACAGGAAACTGAGTCACTGCCCCGGACACGTGTGGGCGGCAGGGGGCCGGTCAGCCCCACCGGCCTCAGCTCCGCCCCCCTACTCAGCCACAACAGTACTCACAGCCAGCCACGGACGCCCCACCCCCTTCAGCTGCAGCCGCCCTGATACCGGGGTGAGGGGCACAGTCTGTCCAGGGGCTTCTCTGGCCCCCGTCACTAGAGCCTCTGAGCCCATCCCCCACAGCGATGGACTGAACCTCTGCCACCCCGGGGGGATCGTCGTCCCCTTTACACAGCAGCAGGGACTGTTTCATGCTCTGTCCCCAGGCAGATTGTCACACGGCAGCCCCCCCCACCCTCCACGTCCCCAGATCTGCCCTTTCCGAGTCCTGCGCCTTTCAGAAACCTCCTTACGGTGGAGCGGAGGTTGCTGGTGCCCCCAAAGCCTGACCGTGCTCAGTGCAGCTGCCCCCACAAGATCCCCCCAAAAGGGAGTTGACGTGGCCAGGAAAGCAAGGCCCAGACCTTCAAAGGTAGGAGGGTGCAACCAGGACTCCCGTGTGGCCCCGAGCCCAGGGCCCCAGCTCCTGTGGGCCATTAGCACCTAAGTCTGCGGAGAGCCTGAGCCAGTCGCCCTGACAGGTGTGAGCTGCCCCGAGTGGAACTGACCCAGCAACGCTGCCTGAGTCTGCCGAGAGCCTGAGACAAATGCGCCGAGAGGGGGCAGCTGCCCCATTGTTACTTTAGGCGTCAATCCCCTGCTCCGGGAGGGGAGTGGGGTCTAGTGAGTCAGAGCTGGGGGGATGGGTGTCAGGACTGCGGGGTTGTCTCCTAGCTCTACGCAAAGGGTGGGGGTTAGAGCAGGGGGACTGGGAGTCCAGTGCTGGGGGAATAATTCCTAGCTCTGCAACTGACTCTCTGTGCAACCCTACCCGGGTCAATTCTGCGATCAGTGCCTCAGTTTCCCCATCCATGTAATGGGGATGATGAGTCTGACTGAGCCTGGGAGGTGCTTTGAGGTCCTCACATGACAGGCACTAGATAACGTCAAATATCTCTCATGATGCTTTTATTGATAAAAGGCTCCTTGCCATTGTTAACGGGCCAAGGATGCCCCACTCAGAGCGGGACGGCATCTCTCTGGCAAATCCACTGACGTACAGATCTGCAGGATTCAGAAGAAATCCGATTCCCCCACAGCTCCCCACAGTGGTTCCACTCACCCCGGCCTGACACTGGGAACCTGCGGGACAAAGGAGAGGGCCCCTGTCAGCACGTGTGGGTCCATCACACGCAGTCGGTAGCGGCTCTTCCCTGTTCTAACGGGATCCGCAGCCGTCGTCTCCCCCAGCTCTGCCCTGGGGGCTGCACCCTCTCCCCAATGTCATGGCCCTGGCCAGGGTCTCGAACAGCCTCTCCCTGCCCAGAGCCCAGGGACCTGCTCCAGCCTCATCCTCCCTGCTGGGCTAGACCCTGTCCACCTCCCTCCCCTACTCCGCGTCTCCTCCCCACCAGGCTGGGCTGATGCTGCCACCTCCTGGTCCCCTCCTGCCTCTCTAGCTGCTCCGTCCCCCCCCCCACCCATTGTCTGGGGGATCCCCAGGGCTCTGGCCTGGCCCCTTTGCTCTTCTCACTCCACATCCTGTCTCTGGGCCACATGCCCCGCCCCCAGGGCTCCAGCCACCATCTCTGTGCTGGGGGATGCGCAAATCTCTCCCTGCCCCATGCCTGTCTGCTCCCACCCAGCCCCCCTCTCAGCAGGGCCTCCCAGCCCCCCTCCTGGGGTCTCAGCATCGTCTGACACTGAACACAGCTCCCCCTGAGCTCCCGACCTTCCCCCCAAACCTCCCCCATCCCTGGCCCTGGCCTCTTCTGCCCACGGAGGGGAGGGAAAGGGTTTGACTCAAGGAATCACTCACAGAGTCTGATCCAGCCAGGAGCCGTCCACCCAGATCCAGGCCTTCTCCGGGGAAGAGATGGACAGTCCGACCCAGAACTGATTTGAACCTTGTGTCAGGTCCTTTATGAACTCCTGCAGTGAGTGTGTGACAGGTAGATGGTGACTAGACGGGCTGTTGGGGATTTGTCTTGTGAATCCAGGTTGTCAACAACTTCAGGACCAGAACGTCTGTCTATCTGTCCATCTAACCCTATACACACCCATTATCCATCCCCATACATCTGTCCCCATACACACCCATCTATCTATTCAACTATCCCCCATACACACCCATCTATCCATCCATCCATCCATCCATCCATCCCCCGTCTCTCTGTAGCCCCCATCCTCACACACACCCAGCGCCTCTCTCCAGCTGAGCTGTGTTGGGCACACCCCAGAAGGGGGAGGGTACCGGTAGCTTTAAGCTGCTTTTGTGTGTCCCTGATCCTGGGCTAGTGATTAAGGTTGGGATTGTCAAAGCTGCCTAGAGGGTGTGGACACCCCATTATCAACAATTAGTGTGAACCAGGTGTCCCAATCCCTTTGACAATCCCAGCCCTACCATGTAGCCTATGCGCCCTCGGACTCTGTCCCCAAGGCCCAGCCCTGCAGGGGCAGCTCCAGCAGGAAGGTATCATCCCCTTTACCAGCTCCTCCCGGTCCCGGATCACCAGCAGCTGGGAGCCCCTCGCTGAGCAGTCGACACGGCTCGCGTTCCACGTGTTACGTCCTCTGGAGAACCAGTAGCACTTGTCCCCGCGCAGCTGCCAATCTGTGGGGCAGAGTTTGCACCCGGGGCCCCCTGCAGAGAGACAGGCGTCATTAATGCTCTGAGCGCTCTGGACCTTGTTCCCAGCTACTCCCGTCCTGCGACTGGGGCAGGAACAGGGTTCAAATTGGTTTGAGTCCCCTTTGTGCTCCATGAAATCTGGGCTGGGCCAGCCCAGCCTGTCTCCTGGTTTCAGTTAGAGCACATACTTAAAGTATGGACCCACTTTCAGGCCCCTTTACACGGCCAGAATGGCCTAGAAGGGTCTTGGAGTAACTGGGAGGAAGGGGTGGTGTTAAGCTGGGAACAGGGGGGGAGGTGGTGGCCCAGGGGTGATGGGGAATGGGAGGGGACATGGGGTCCAGATGCCAGGGAATGGGAGGGGGTGGGACCGTAAGACAATCTCACTAATAACATGTGAAACCCCCCCACACACACACACACACACACATTAGAAAAAAAATTGGTCAGCTTTGTATGACATTGTTATTAAAATCTTCATGGCTGGGTATTACCCAGAATGGCCACTAGATGGCGCTGCCCCAGGCCCAGTCCCAGTTGAGGCAGGTACATTCATGGCCTGGCACCGAGCGGGGCTGGTGACTAGATCGGTGCAGCCAGCAGGGGGCGGCGTGTCCCTGCCCTGCAGGATCCCCAGGGGCTGGGACGGCAGCTGGGTTCCCACTGGCCGTGCCCGGGGCGGAGGGCGGCTCAGAGACACACGAGCTGGGGTTACCTGCTGGGCCGGGCGGGGCCGGGTGACACAACTGGGATCGGAAACGCTCCAGGCAGGTGCTGCATTCTGCCGTGCAGGTGTCTGCGCTCCCAGGGGCTGTCGCTGTATCTCTGCTCCCGGCTCCGTCGCTCCCAGGGGCTGCCGGGGTCGGTCCCTTCTCAGACACCAAGTGGGAAACTGCAAAGCAGCGTCGGTGGGAGTGAGGGCGACCGGTCAATGTTGTGGGAGTTGCTGATAAAAGCGCCAGCGCAGAGCCCTGCGGGGACACAGGGCCTGCCCCAAAGCCTGTTCAGCCCCATCGCCACTGATTCCAATGGACTTCGGAGCAGCCCTAAAGGGACACGGTCTGAAAAAGTGTCTGGGATTGAAAATCACTGGGAATTAGGTGCCTAAGTCCCTTGGGCTTCTTTGCAAACCCAGCCAGTGTTTCACCCATTCTCACCCTCAAACACCTCCCAGAACTGGCTGCGTGGGGATGGCCAGACTAAAGCAGGCCTGGGGCCCATCTAACCTGGTATCCCATCTCCAAGGGTGGACAGCCCCAGCTACTCCTGAGCAAGGGGCAAGACACCCCCTAGTGGGCAATGAGAACTTGCCCCCGAAGTCAGACCCTTCCTGCCCATCAGTTAGGGGTTGATTGATGCCCTGAAGCAGGAGGGTTTATAGCCCCTGACAAAGCACTTGGGTACTTCCTGGCCCTCTGGCTGGTCTCGTTCCTCTTATATGTGTCCAGATCCTTCACTGAGCCCTGCTAAGCTCATGGCCCCAGTGAGATCCACACACTAATTGTGACTGAGCATCAGTTTTCAATGTGCCGCCTCTCAATGTCACTGGCCGTCCCTCCCCAAGTGTCGTATCCACGCTGCAGACTGACGCACCCGGACAGATAAAGCTACAGCCTTTGGTGACTCACCACACACTGCCAGCAATAGCACAGCCACTGCCTGGATGAGATTCCCAGCCCCTAGAGTGACCTGAAGCCAGCCAGGACACTGACGGGAACCTGTAATGAAACACAAGCAGAGCCGGGCTGAATTAAGGCCCAGCCACTCTAGATCCTGGCCTCAGGCTCCAGCTCCAGGAGTCAGGTGATTATACCAGGGTCTCAGCTTTCATTTAGAAGGGAAAGATTGTTTTCAGCCCTCACGGCTGGGGAGAAAAGATTGAAAATGTGACCCCAAGTGTTACTGATACAGCAACGCTGCCTGAGTTTGCAGAGAGCCTCCACCGATGGCTCTGAGAGCAGGGCTGTGCTCCATGAATCGCAAGAACCACTGTTTTTGAAACTCTGCCAACCCCACCTGAAACCCTGGTTTCTATTACCAGATATGGGCAGGAAATGAGGTCTAGTAGGTTGGAGCAGTAGGGCTGGGGGCCAGGACGCCTGGGTTCTAGCCCCTACTCTTGGAAGGGAGTGAGAATTACTGGGTTAGAGCAGTGGGGGCTGGGAGCCAGGATGCCTGGGTTTTATCCCTGGCTCTGGGACGGGAGTGGGGTTTAGTGGTTACAGCAGGATGTGTCTGGGAGCCAGGACTCCTATGTTATATTCTCAACCCTGGCAGAGCAGTGGGGTCTAGTGGGTCAGAGCACTGGGGGAGGGGGCTGGGAGCCAGGACAACTGGGCTATATTTCCAGCTGGGGGAGGGAAATGGGGTATAGTGGGTGTGTCCTTATGAAAGATTTTTTCCCCCCCGATCCGTGCCTCAGTTTCCCCCATTTGACCCACCTTTTTGGCTTCCAGAGGGGAAAGCTCCCCGTGAGCGGTCCCACTCTCGCTCTGTCACTTGGGGGATCCCCCACGCTCTTTACCTCTGTCTTCGGCGCTCCCCCACCCTGTGATATAGCCACATGGCCAGACTCTGCCGTCCCCTGGCCTGTCTCTGGGGTCCCAGCCCCGGCTCTGCCCCTGCTGCCAGGAGATGGAGCCCGTAGGTGAGAGGAGTGGGTTGAAATCCCTACCTTTGTTCCCGGCTGGGGACGGGCCACCCGAGCCACCCCGCTTGGGCCGCAGGTTCAATGCCGTATATCCTTCCTCATCCTCCATCATGCCCGAGTGAGAGGATGCAGGGAAGTCGTGGGCAGGGGGAGAGGGGCTGGGCTGAGATCACACAGGAAACTGAGCCGCTGGGCTGCAGCCCTGTGGTTGGGGGGGCCGCGGTCAGAGGATCTGTCCTGAATTTCCTCTCTCTGCTTTGGCAGATGTTGGCTCGGTCAAGCGAAAGCTCCCAGCCAGCCCCGGACACCCTCATCTTCCACTCTCTGAGGGGGATCCGCTGCCCTGACACCAGGGTGAGGGGCGCAGTGTCAACAATCTGAGCTCTGTGGACAGGGTCAGAGCCTCAGCAGGTGCCGCTCAGAATCAGTCCCACTGAACGACCCCAGGCTGGGATCGGGCCCAGCGAGCGCCTGAAAACCCGTTATAGCCAGAGGGAAACAGCTCAGAGCGCTGGGATGAGACAAATCCCCTCCTGGGCCTGCAGTTCCCAGCTGCGCCCCTATGTGGCAGCCCGCCATGGGGAAGGGGAGAGCACGGGGTGTGTGACTCCGGAGTGACAATTTGCATGGGATCCCGGTGCCAAACGCCACCCGCCGGTCAGGGGGGCCATGACACTTCCCTGTGTCACCCAGCAGGGGGTGAAATGTCCAGGACCAGAATAGCCATAGACAGGCTGTGCCTCTCGCCCTGGCATCAGGGCGGCTGCAGGGTGCATCAGGGTGGGACAGGGGCGACCATCACTGGCTGTGACCAGCCCCTGCGCGCCTGTGCCGACTTCTGCGGCAGCAGCGAGCCCGAGGCCGGACGCTCTGACCAGCCTCCCTCCCCCGCCCCCCAGCTGCAGCTTCCTGTGTGATCTCACACCACTGCCCCTCGCTGCCCTCCCCCCAGCACCTGCCCCACAGCTCCTGGCTGCCCCTCCCCCCCCCGTCTCCTCTCTCTCCGGCACAAGGCAGGCTGACGAGGGTCCCCAGCACGGAACCTGTGACCCCAGAATGGGCACGTGGGTGTCCTGTTCCCAGCCCGGACCCAAGGTACCAAAATCCATCCCCCCCTCGCCTACATGGGCTCCGTGTCACAGCAAAGGGGCAGGGTGGGGGCTGCCACCCCAGGGCGGGGAACAGGGGGGAGAATCTGGCTGGAGCCGGGATAGCACTGGAGATGGGCCAGCCTGGACTGGGAGACGGGGAGCAGCTGATTCTACAGACCCGACCCCTGCGCCTGGGAGTGACCTGACTCCAGATCCCAGCTGGGGGGAACTGGCCGTAGCTCCATTGGGGTCAATGGGGCCTGATCCCAGCTGGGGGGAACTGGCCGTCGCTCCACTGGGGTCAATGGGGCCGATCCCAGCTGGGGGGAACTGGCCGTAGCTCCACTGGGGTCAATGGGGCCGATCCCAGCTGGGAGGAACTGGCCGTAGCTCCACTGGGGTCAATGGGGCAGATCCCAGCTGGGGGGAACTGGCCGTAGCTCCACTGGGGTCAATGGGGCAGATCCCAGCTGGGGGGAACTGGCCGGA